AGAATCTTAGTTTGATCGTAATATGACTGCAAAACATGTTCAGTCAATCCAGTGCTTCACATGTGCAAAGTTTATGCTCGATGCTTCACTGAAGTTGAGTCAATGTCACTGCAGTGAAGCACAAGAAGCTCCTGTGGATCCTGTGGAAAGTGGATTTTAAAATCTGAGAACCGCACAGACCCAATTCAGAAATGTTCCATCACTAACAGAGGCCATGCAGGATTCTTAGCTTTAAGACTCGTTGGCTATGCAAACAAGATGTCAGATGATTATTTCAGCAGGTAAAACGCTTGGTGTAAATCGCATCTCTCCCTTATTACCATCAACCTGGCTGGATCACAGGAAGACAGCCTACCAGAAAATGTGTCATACATAGCGCCCACTAACGAGACCTTAACAAGCAACCCACACACACCTCTTGTCTGTGCAATGACAACCCACACCCACCGTCTCTTCTTCCTCTCCTTTAAATGATACTCCATCATGATACACACAGCGAGTGAGTGAGTTATAATCAGGAGCAGAGTGAGTGGACGGGGTCACAGCTATTAACCAGATGGCAGCAGCTGAAGGCTAGCTGTCATGGAGGCACTAGGAGACCCTTGACCCGTACGTTAAGGAGACCTGAGTTATTCATCCGGAGCTCCGCAGCATCGGTGCAGCCATCACGAGCAGCCTTTATGGGACGGCGCTTCAGATAGTGTACCTGTGAGGAAGACTGATGGAGTAGCCCAGCGTTGAGTTAGACATTTAAATTCATTAGCGTCTGTCATGTGACATACATGGTTGGTCAGTGATTATGGTACAGTGCTGCCCACTTAATGTCGTACTGCTTTATAGGATATCCCGTTTATAATCATGAAATATCTAATCATTTCCTATATAAGTAAAACAGCCTGTTTCGTCATAGAGTAATGTCATAATCCTGGTTTTTGTCATCACGAAATTCCCCAAAATTGATTCCAGGGATAACTTTTGCCTGTTTAAAGTCACGGTTGGCCAATCGTTATGGCCGATCGTTGGTCATGCGTGGCAGATTATAACACCGGTTAGCCGTAAAAAGGCAACATGTGTGTTTGTTTGTCAGTTACCTGCTCACCTGAGATCTGCTTCACACACTGTCTGACGTTAATCACATCAAAGAGATCTCATTGTTGCGGAGCATGTCATCACTCATACCTGAGCTGCTCAGCTGGTTAATCATGATAAGTTCATCCTCGATAACTTTTATTGATGGGGTGGCTTGAGGTGTGATATAAATATTCCATGAGAGACCCATCGTTAGAGGACAGACGCCTTTACGTCCTTGTAAATATGTTTATTGATCGCAAGTAGAAAGATGGCAGTTTGAATGTTTGACCTTTTTTAATTTTCATAAACTTTTTTTCTAGTTTAATATTTCATAAAAGTTTAAAACAAGTCTTCTTTCCTTAAATACTTTATTTCCCAAATACATGCTAAATGCGTCCCATATAGGCCACGTAGGTCGTGCTGGTCCAGTGCATAGGCTAGTTTTCACACACAAAGCTGCTGATTGGAATACCCCAGATATAGTCATAATTCCATCCTGGATTGAATGTGTGATAACAAACGGGCAGCGCTGCACTGAGGCGTCTGAGTGGGTCTCAGCAGGGAAACATGTCTTTGTGTTGCCAGTTGTGTTGGCAGGTTTTATATCATTGGAAGAGTGAGATTTTATGAATACTTGCTGCACTTTTTTTGGAAGTTCCCATCGAGTAAAAAGCTAAAAATGACTTTTCACATAAGTTTAAAGGAATTGAATATGTGTAGATGATAAGAAAGATTTATTCTGTGTCTTCCAGAAATTCAACTGTACACTCATAGTTTTAGGTTTTAGAAATATAGTGTCCTTATCCCGAGGCCAGAGTGAAATGTAAAGAAAACTGACATTACTTTAATCAACACTTGTAAATAACAGCCCTGCATCAATCCATAAATGACTAATGCTATATGGATTTTAGCCATTGCAATACTTGGCGGTCTCGACAGTCAAAGTGCAGCACTTCAGGATCTTAAAAGACGTCTCTGGTTGAGTTTTTATAACAGATAAAAACCTGCTTCCAGTCCGGTGTAGAAGGGGTTAACCTATTACACCCAAATGTCTATCACAATGTAAAAGCAAAAAGAAGAAAAAAAAAAGTTATTTGTTTATAGGGCTGTAATATTTTGATGAAAAGGCAATAAAAATGGTAAGTGGCTTACAGTATTTCCATGTCCCTTCCTTCTGGCTGTTTTGAAAATAGAATTGCTTTGAGGATTATGCCCACCACAGCTTTGGCTTCTCCATTAAAAACTACACTCACTCTACTGTATGTAGCCTGAAGGATATGGTCTGTGCATGTAGTAATAAATGAAAGACATTTTTTTTCGCAGTTAGAAAAATTTATTGCAACTTCCACACTGCGAGGTTCCAGCCGCTCCCCGACACGCAGAGCAAAGAGAACAGCAGAGGCCTAAATGGAACATCACTATAGGCACAGGAGAGGGAAGCGCTGGCTCTAAGCCATTTAAGCAAATGAAATGAGAAAGGAGCATGAGGCGAACTGACTGGAAACTGGTAATTAAGTTCCATGCGAGTTCCAAGTTCCTCCTCACCCAGTGAGTCAGACAACTTCCTGGATGCAGCTCACCACAGTTTACCAGTCGCCAGCGACACATTCGAGCGCTTCCAGTCCAGCGCTTGTTCTAAAATGAAACTGACTGATCACTTCAAGGGAAACCACAACAAATATGTTTTGTGATAATATATTTACTTTTTTTTTTCCCCCCCTAAACTGCGTTATAGTAGTTGCAAATTTGGCAAAGGTTCATTTCCGAGCGGCGCCTACAGGCGTTCCTAATCTGTTTACACAAGCCGTCTTTCTTGCCTGTTTCACAAATCCATTTTTCAGGCCTTTTATAGACTGCGCCGATCTTAAACGGTAATAAAATCGACATATTATGAGCAAAAAAAAGAAAAAATGTTTGTTGCAATAAGCTACTCGGTTTTGGTTCGTCATGTGGAGCCGGGCTGGTCGGAGACAGTTTCCTCTTTCATTTCCTGACTTTAAAGCTGTGGTTGGCAGAAATCTAGAAAAGGCTATACGCGTTTAGTATGTGAGGTAAAAATTACTGCTCTTGTCGGAGGAGTCTGGTGGCTTTGAAGCGAGCGATATAATGAATGAATTCAGTTCCCCCATTAGGAGCAGTTCATTCTGTGCCAGCAGGCTCCTTCTGTCTGCTGCTACAAACTGGGGCGTGCTGACCGCTGTCTACTGGAGATAAAACACCGGCTGCGGATAAGTACCTCATACTGCCCCACTTCAAAAAAAATCACAACTGTAATAATATAATAAACTGCAGTTATTGTCAGACACTCTGTTAAAGCCCCTTTAGACTTTTTGACAGTTCTGTTTTTCTTCTTTTTGGTGGGACTTTGCAGTCGGAGCAGTTCGTGCCATTTGCTGGAATAGCAGCTTTTCTAAATTTTCAATAAGTGAGTCAAGATTTTCCACCATTTACAGAGGGATGTATGTGCATCTGCAACTGGCCAAAGCCAACAGGAGGACGAGCTGAAGTTTCCACTCACACCAAATGAATTACAGTTTGATAAACGGATATGACAAAACTTTTGCCCAGTTGCACCAAAATTACTTCTTACTTCTGTTTTTATTTGTTAAAAACCAACCAAATAAACAAATCAAATGCTAGATCATGAAGAAAAACGGTCACAAAAACTGAGCTGGGTCGTTGTTTTTTACGGAATAATATTTATTTATAACATTGAACATACTTTACTTACAGATACTTTGCCTAGAAATTAACTGTCACTGCACATCATCTGACAGAACAACACGTGGTCTTTCGAAAAATAGAAACAAACGAACGAGGAGGAGATATCCCACCGAACCATGACCTCATGCACCGATTCACCACCAAATGAAACGAAGGGTATGGCAGTTCAACTGGTTGTAAGTACGTTGTGCAAATACAGACTCACCTCATTGAAACAAGTAACAAGACTATGTAAAAAACAGTAATGACTTTAGAAACCCAGGAGTAGCACAGACCTAAAATGTCTGCATGTGCCTGTTGCTTTTCTTAACGGGACATTATAGAAAAAGAAAACATCCATTTGCGGTCATTCAACATGCAACTGATCCGACTGAGCAGAGCTCAAGACAGTTTTTGTCTCTCTTTCTCCATCGTTGTTCGTGGATGTCTGCGTTTTTTTTCTGTTAGGACCGTGTGAGAGCGCCGCCGTCCGAACGTTCAGTGGCGGCTTCGGGTTGATCGATGCTCTTTAATGTGAATTCTTGCTCAAGGCTACGGAGAGGGAGGCGTCTTCAGAGAATTACAGGATCCACCCTGGCTACTACCTGTGGTCCCCTGGTACTGTAAAAGGAAAAAGCAGAAAGAGTGGAACAATCATCAGCTACACATTGGATTTGCAAACAATCTTTTTACAAACAAGACGTACAATTACATCAAATAAAACCAGAGCCGTCACTTCTTTATTTTCTCAGCTCAGACTCTCCAAACAAATGCACTCACCACCTACAGAGTTGAGATGAAGATAATTTGGGCAATAAAACAAACAATGAATGTCTGCCATTTCATTTATTTTTTTTTATTTCTGGTAGGTTCGTTTATTTATGTATTCACTCGGTTTTATTGGAATAGACTGCAGTGCTGCCGCTGCTGAATTTGCCAACTGCAAACAAAGGGATGAAAGCTTGTACAGACAAAGTGGCTTACTTGGCATGCAAACACATAAATAGACCTGCATTTGAAACTAGCAACATATTAGGACTACAGTATTTTATTTTCCTGTTTTGTGAGAAGCATGAGGATGAAGGGCCTGTGAGGATAGAAAAACTTGAAATGACTAGGGAGGTGGTTTCTTGAGGCTCCAGTGAAGATTTCAAAGTGCTGCCGTTAGAACTGGAAAGAAACACAGCGAGCTCAATTGACAGTTTTCTCTGACGTTCGCTGTCTCTTTGTGTTTTACTTTTGATGAGCACACCAATACGCACCACGGAGCTTCTGGGCTGAGTGCACAGGTCAGACATCCTTCAGCTTCTCAGTGTGACTCCTCCTCTCCCGCTAGAAGAGCATCGGCCCTATAGATCGTAAAACTCGATGCCTCGTTCACTCTGCAATTCCCAATAAATCTACATATTTGGGTATATGACAATGTGACCACAGAGTAGTTTTCCTCTGCAACCAATACTCTTATTTTATCACTGCTTCTACGTTTTTCACCCTTGCTGGTTTGCCGTCGTAAAGAAAGAAGATAAAAGACGAAGCATAAGTGAACTCTCTAAAAGACCAGGGCTCTGCTCTGTACAGAGACCGGTCATACGAGTAAATTACCGAGATAACTGCAGGCTCAAAACTGTCTTCTTTATCTCAAATAAATGTGCATCGCCATGGTAACTTTGGCAGAAGGTTTGATGTGGTCCAGTTTCAGCCATCAGATCCAGATATGCACTTTTAGATAAAATACTATCACCCTCTGGACTTTTTTTTTGGAGAGAGCCACTTTCTTTTCACTGAAGATGATTAAATCAGATATACAATCTTTTCTGAGCTTTTCAGGCTTCGTGTCAGGTCTGGCAATAAAAAAAAAAATTGCTTCTATCAAATGGCCGATTATTATTTCTTTTCTTTTTTTACTTTTACAGTCATATATCCAACGCGGCTGACCAAAAAAATCCTTTCACAGCCTCATTGTAACAACACGCTGCTCTATCAGTGCATACTAATGAGCTCACTGTGCCTTAATAAGTGGACGAGCTTAATCACTTACACAACAAAATACTGCCACAGATCTTTTATGTTGCTTATTTTTCTTTTTCCTTTACTGTCAGATCTTATAGAGTGGCGTGCTAAAACTCCACATCTTCTAATATGTTACGAGACACTGTAAAATGAACAGCGCATGTTTAATGCAAAGGCTATTTCCAACTAACCCTGTGAACAAATCCTATATTTTAAAAAAGGGCAATAAAATAGAATAAGAATTGTACAGCAGCTGCCTCCTCCCCAGCTGGATCTAACCCGGCTCTCCCCTGACGACCAGACTTTGCTGTTTTGACAGCGTTAGTTGCAAATTCAAGATAGCCGACATAAAAAAAAAAAAAAACACCCGTTCACATTGGAAACCTGGTCAGTCCACCATGCATGGAAACACACGTCACAGCCATCACGCTGAAGTCCCCTCACCTCAACCAGAGGATGCCAGTGGGCGACAGGTTTTCGAGGATATGTGAGCATTTCACTCCAGTGGTCTCGACCGAGGTTGTCTGCATCATTGCCAACTCGACACACACCAATGACCTCATTATGGCCTACACTATAGGCGCAGGAGGGGGAGAGAGAGAGAGAGAGAATGTGATCACAGCCTGTCCTCCATTCCAAAAATAATGATGCATTACATATTGAGTGTGGACAGAAAAAGAAAAGAAAAAAAAAACTACTGAAACTGTCCATATGTGCCACAGAAACAGACTACAATCATTTCAATGTGCTTTGAATATATTTCATCCTTTAGCCAAAAGTACAAAGTATTGAATTACTTTTATAAAGTCTCTTACCGGTCATAATCCATCACTGCAATCAAAAGGCTGATCTGTTCTATGTTTTCTGGAGGGACATCAAAGACAATGGCTTCATTATACACCGGATTCAGAGTGTTCCTCTTCGTCGACGTCTTCCTCTTCTTCAGCCTGCGGCCGTCGCACATTAACGAAACCTTCACATATGGATCTGTGAAGAATCGGAGAAATGAGAGTGGTAAGAGTGCGTTTTTCGTTCCGGAGATGTGCAGCTGTAGACGGTATCAGATTTTAATTACCGGATGCCCCGGTGATATCCATGGCCTTAAGATTGCGAGCCTTTATCATGGTAATGGTCAATCTGCCCGCAGTAGGCAAGTAGCAGAGTGAAAACATCAGATCCCCGAGGTCCACGTTATCCTGGAAGACAACACAAACACATTTACTCTAGCTTAGGCTTGACTTATTTCTTGCTTTTCATTACTGCACACTCGTCAGACATGTTGAACAGAACAGCGTACGACGTTTATTTACAGCGTGGATATGTTCCTTTCTCTTTCTTAATCAAGGAATACTCTCTTCTTTCACATGACTCTAATTAAAGCCTCCCATATTTCACCCAACACCGAGACTTCTGTTCAGCAGCTCACTTATCGCTCGCGCTTAAAATAACTCCGCCAAAGAAGTGAGAACCAGGAAAGCACAGAATTGTGTGCGGCGATGAAGACGAGACCTCCTGCGGTTAGGATCTCCAGCCGATCTACTGCTATGTCGGGGAGCTTGCGCTGGCATTTCGAATCGGGCGCCATCTGCTACTAACTGTCAGTGTAATCATTTGTAAAGCGAAGCTCAGTCGGTGTGTAAACACACCGTAAAAACCTGAGAGGATCTACGGCGCCGCACCGATTTCAACCGAGCTGCTCCATTAACCGAGATAATGATATCAGATTTATCAGCTGCGTTGGTAGTTTAGGAACCGAAATGAGCCTCATATTGTTGTGAAAATCCCAAACTATAACGGACAAACAGGCACGTAATTGCAGCTAATATCACCCGAGCATTTACTCATCCCTCTTGTATGCTCTGGTACCTTTCGAACACACGCTTAGCAATTAGTCTGCTTGAGTTGCATGCAGTGTATGATAAAGTATGGCTGATTGCTTAGCTGGTACATCTGTGGAAAGAGGGACAGCGGCAGAATTATAATTTCCTTCCTCTTAAGAAGCGAGACAGAGTTATAGACTATCAGAGATAAATATGTGATGGCATTTTGTTTTTTTACAAAACATCTTACATAAGTTTCTCACACTCCCAGACACTGTTTGGTTATTTATCTTGGTTATGAAGCACATATTCTGTGGTATAGAAAATGTTCATACTTGTGATTTATCAGTAAGTGAGTGTGAATAATAATAATAATTGATCAGATTTATGTAATGCTTTTCTAGACACTCAAAGACGCTTTACACAGTCACTTATTCATTCCGGTGGTGGTAGCTACGATTGGCGGACTGACAGAGGCGTGGCTGCCATTCTGCGCCTCCGACCACCACCTCAAACAATCCATTCACACCAGGAAAGTGTCTTGCCCAAGGATACAACGACCATGACACAGGTTACAAGCATAGACTGTATAAAAGATGGACGTAGCAACCGGCCCTGAAAAATGAAGCCAACCCGGAAGTGTCAAAAACCTGCAATATCACTACGTCGGCTAGCTGCTGGCTCCAAAAAGCCCTGGCTCCCATAGACTTGAATTGGAAAAGAAGTGATCACAGATCACAAAATACCGCTTTCCTACAGCTCAGGACTTTTTCTTATTAGTTTTCATGGTCAAATCCAGAGATCAGGTGGCCAATCCCAATACTGAATTTTAAAAAAATCATCAACATTTTGCGGGGCAAGGGGCGTGGCTGGCTTGATTGACAGTCGGCAGCGACGATGCAGACGAAGCGAGCAGAAGGCGGTAAATGTGGGCGGGGCAGAGAGGGCCCGCCTCTCAATCCATCTGACCAATCGCTGCTCCTATGGCTCCGCCCCCCTCCGACGATTTTTGCGTCACTGGCTCCAAAAATCCAAGATGTCAACCAGGAAGTAGCAAAACCCTGGCTTCATTTTCTCAGTGCAGAAACCAACGTCACGGTAGCTACGTTCATCTTTTATACAGTCTATGGCTACAATCGAACCGCTGACCTTCCGATCATTGACCGACTCGCTCTACCACCTGAGCCACAGCCAGAGAGAATTTGAAAAAAAGTTTTCCTCCTGAGACCCAGATTGCCTTGTTTCTTTACAAGAGTCTTCTGTAACAATCCAGAACAAATATTCAGCAAGGCGATATTGTGAGGCTCTTTTTTTTTTTTTTTTCCTTTTTAAATTTGCATGATGGATTATCTGACAACCCCTCCGGAAACCGCATTCCCCCATCCAAGAAGGATCCTGTGGGCTTTACATGCTTCATGCTCCGTGCTCTTTATGCACGCTCAGGATGCAGGTGGGAAGAGAGAGATTAGCGCCGTGTTTCATGTGCTCCAGAATCCCTTTTTAGGCTGCGAAAAAAAACCTCATTTGATACCTGCTGCTTGAATATCACACTGAATGTTTCTGATAATCACGCCGTATCCCACTTTCCTCAATTGAGACATATTGTGCTCATGTGTGTCTAAAAGTCAAAACCATGAAAAGGGAACATAAGACCAAAGAAACCAAGAATAGGCATCATTTAGCAGTAAATATATTATGTGGCATTTGTCTGGATTGCCAGTGTCGTCCCCAGAAACAGAAAAACAACACGCGTCCTTCCAATAATCTACAATCTGCTTCGATTGTGGAGCTCAAAAAGAAGAAGAAAAAAATCTGGCAACGAAACCGACAACACTGTGAGTCCCACTGGCAATCACGACTCAATGGTAATCCTGTCATTAGCAGCAAATTAAATGGGTGACTCTGTGTAATGATTATGACAAATGGGCTCTGCTTGCATTGGTTACAAAATGTCCTACCTCTGGACCGGTGGCCAAAGATGATTAGCTCGTTTATGAGGATGCATGTGTGCAAATGTCTGAGAACAAGAAGAGTGTGTGTGTGTGTGTGAGCTAAGCAGTGTGAAAAAGAAAGAAAACTGAGCAGTGTGAGAATAGAGCATCCCAGATTCTGTGAATCACTGGTTCCCATCAACCACCTGTCACATCCCATTTTGTTCTAACTGGGAAACAGTGATCAACAATCGATAATAAAGGGCACACGTGTCAGCGGTGATGCACACAGCTGCCATAAGTTGAGGGTTTACACGAAAATATCAATACTGTGGTCAATATTGCTTTGAAGCGTCTATCTGGCATGCAGGCAGAACAAATATCTTCATGGCCATTTTTTTTTTTCCCCCAGCATGTCGTTCTTGCTCAATACCAGCTCCTTTATCTTTATTTAGACCCAAATCAGCTAAGTTTTGGTTTAAGAAAAAAAAAAAAAGAGCGACTACTTCTGGATAAATTATTTGCATTCTTTACACCGAGTCAGTCATCAATTGTCTGTATTGCATCCATCCATTATCTGTACATCGCTTAATCCTCACTATGGGGGGCTGGAGTCTATCCCAGCTGACTCAGGGTGAAGGCAGGTTCACCTGGACAGGTAACCAGTCTATCACAGGGCTACACTTAGAGACAGACAACCAAGCACACTCACATTCACACCTACGGACAATTTAGAATCACTAATTAAACTCAACATGTTTTTGGACTGTGGGAGGAAGCCGGAGAACCCGGAGAGAACCCACGCTGCACGGGGAGAACATGCAAACTCCACGCAGAAAGATCCCAGGTGTCCTCACCAAGACGCGAACCGGCGACCTTCTTGCTGCGAGGCACAAGTGCTAACCACTGCTCCACCTTGCAGCTGTATTGCTTAAACCGTCAATATAGGTGCAAATGTCAGGGTACATCTATTTCACACTGTCTTTGCTTGCTTGTGAATTCTACAGATGTTCCCACTCTCTCTGCAAAGAACATGTAGGTACGTTTTCAGTCAATCTGTGGAAGTAGGGTTTACGGATTTACAAGCTGGACATCAGCAAACATCAATAAAACGGCAAAAGCTGCGACAAATTAAATCCAACTAAAAGTAAGGCGTGAAAGCTTTTCTTTCTAAAAAAAATAAAGAACAAAAAAAGATTTAACACTTTTGTTCTTCAGGAGCTTCACAAGCGGAGTCAAAAGTCTTTCTTTTCCTGGCTGGGAGTCCCTCTGCCATTTTGTGCTCTGTTTTATAACACAATAATTTCCTCATATTTCAAGCGATTCTACTTTACACATTACCATTTTTAAGTATGCTAGTTATTTTTGTCACTTTTGACTCAAAACCCAGTTTGAATTTAAATATATGTCTTGAAAGTGGGACGCAGCTGCTGACTCGGTGGACGCCAGCCAGGGTTAGGACGGCTCTGTCGCATGGCTTGTATCACGTGAACCGGTCGGCCAAGCAGCAACTCGTTTAATGTCGTTAATCCGATAAAGACTTCTGCGGGGACCCGTGCAACCTCCAGCATTCACGGGTTGCTCAAATATAGCAGCTTAGGTTAAAGCAGGTGTGTGTTGGAGAAAGAAAGAAAGAGGTGGATAGAGCAAAAGACAGACAGCGAGGAAAGCAACAGATTCTCGCTGTCGGTATTTTCAGTGGCCATGAGTAGGCAGCTGTTAATGGTCTTCAACACACTGTATGTGAGACTTTGCGCATGAATCCGTCAGCTGGTGTCAGCAGCCTACAAATTCAGCCGACATGCCACAAATTTGAATTCAGTGCAGAAGTCACATTAAAACATTCGATCCAAAGTCCAAATTTATAAAGATCAGTAAAGAAGAACAAACTGATTACTGTAAACAGATGCTATGGACAAATATCACAGTTGAAATACAGAAAAATTCAACTGCATGCCAGCTGTAAAGCACACTCAGCAGAATAAAGCACCATTCATCGCGTTATTTTAATGAAGTGCTGGATTCCACGGTGCCTCAGCTTTTATGTCAATGAACCAGATATTACAGCCACTCACAGATCCAGTGAATAAGGCTGACTTTGTCACAATAGTGGATATGTGAAGGTCGAGGCTATTGAGATGGTACAGTACCAAAAAATAAATAAATTCCCCTCTTGTTGCTTTTAAACATTGAGTCATGGTCAATTCAATTTGGTTTTTCGACAAGAGTTCAAAGTAAAGACAGTTTCATGTCAAACTGAAAATAGATTTCTACAAAGTAACGTCGCATGACACAAATATATAATAAGTGATTGCTTAAGTATTCACCAACTTTAAATCAATTTAAATTTCGTGGATGCAACTTTGGATGCAATTACAGTACTGAGCCTGGGTGACATGAGTCCTAATCAGCCGCTTCTGGACTCTGCAATTTTTACCTCATTCT